TGGTACGATAAAATTTAACAGCTAAAGTAAGTTTAACATAATATTAAGTTTTTATTAAAATTCTTTGATATATATTCTATAATTATCACATAAAATTGATACGACGACTGGTTTTTGCAACGTTAACCTAGATTTGGTGGAAAAAAAAGTTAAGTAGGGTGACTGATCCAAATGCTAGCACTGCACCAAATAATCAGCACTCTGAATAAATAGTAAAATAATAAGGTTTTCACTAACTGATTTGGGTTACCACTTTAAAAAATAAATAAATTGTTGTTTTTGAAATCCTACCACTGGCAATACCATACTTTCTGACTTCAAAATGGCAAAAAAAATGTAAAAATACGTTTGTGTCCGGCAGTTCGTCTTATTTTTGCCTGTTCTTAGAGATCGAAGGTAAGTTCACGTGTTTACATTTAATGCTTTAATAGATCTTTTAAATATTTTATATTAATACTTTTGATTTATGTGATTTCTTAGATAGTTTATCAGGATAGTTTGAAAAGAATAATTTGAGGTTATAATGACATATTGTTAAAAAATGTGGTGCTAATATATGGGTCTAATATTTTGCGAATTCCAAATTATCAGCACTGGTGCTGATAAATGGAAAATAGTACGTAAATACTTATACCATATTTTTAATTGTAAACCGTGCTTATTTGATGCATAAAATTCATTTTTTTTTCGTAAAAGTAGTTTATGCCTTCGGAATCCAAATCTTAGCATAGTGCTGAAATTACATTTGCTATTTGTCAGCATAGTGCTAATAATTGGATCAAAAGCATGCTGATAATTTGGTTCTCCTAGCATTTCATAAGTTTTAATTTTTTCAGACCCACCTACCATGAAACCAAAGGAAGTAAATATGCCAAATAAAAGAAAAAAAAAACTCTTACGAAAATCTATTAAAAGACTTAGATGCATTAGAATATGGTATGTCCAAAAAACTGGCCTCGAAAACCTTCAATAAACCTAGATAAACTATCCAGTCGCGATTAAGAAAGCCATGCAAGAAGCTACCAGACCCTGATCCACTATTGTCGAACGATGAAGAGGAAGTTTTAGTAAAAGTGGGTTTTAGATTGCTGTCGGAAAGGATTCCCAAACAAAAGACTGATTTACAATTGAGTGTAGCAAGTTTCTTAAAGAAGACAGAAAGAGATTTAGAGACCCCTTAAAGGATGACATATCTGGTAGAAAATGGTATGACCTTTTTATGTGCCGTCATCCAGAACTCAGCGAACGCATTGCCGAAACTGTAATATCAGTCAGTGCTAATGTATCAGAAGAAGACACAAAAAGGTGGTTCCACAATTTTGAGTTTTGTCCTAAGGAAAACAACTACTTTAACATCTACCAGAACCCGTCTCGTGTTTTTAATGGGGACGAATCTAACTTTCAGTTATATCCTAAGAGTGGCAAAATCATTTCATTACGAGGAGAAAGAGACGTATATGAAGTTGATCACGCTGCAGCCAAAACTGTCTTTATTGTACTGTTTACGTTTTGCGCCAACGGAGATATTACACCTCCACTAGTTCTTTTTCCCAACAAGAGGTTTCCCAATGATAAAAAATCATCAGTCCCAAATGAGAGGGGCATTGGTTTAAGCTGTACTGGCTAGATGAAATGTGATTTTTTCTATGATTATATCAAGAATGTATTTCATTCATTTCACATCATACTATTTGTAGATGGACACAAAACACATCTTAGTCTTGAAGTGAATAAATTGTGCAGCAAGTTGGACATTATTTTGATTGCTCTAAAGCCAGCCGACACATGTCAGCTTTTAGACCTCTCAAAAATGCATGGAAGGAAAGTAAAATGGAGGAGAGATTACCCTTTGGAGACTCTCACAAAGAATGATTTTGTACCTGGTCTTATAGAGGCTTTAGAGGTTGGCGTCAAAGATACAACAGTGATAAATGGATTCAGGACTATTGGCTTATGTCCCTGTAACTTTGAAGCCATCAACTACAAAAAATGTCTGGGTAAAGGAAATAAACATGATAAAGAACCAAAACAAGACAAATAAAAATTACAAGAAGATTGTAATGAAGATAGAGTTATGACACGTGAAACTTTAGAAAAGATTGTAGGGCAAGAAAAATGTACCTACATTTCTGCAAAGAACGCCGCTTGAGAGTCTAATAGAAACAGAAAGGATTTTAAAGAAGATTTGTTGTTATTTCGATGATCAAACTGATGCGTCCACAACTTCCACATCCCAGGAAGCTGTTATCAAATTTCTCAAAATTGATCAATTTCCAGTAATATTAGCATAAGATTTTGTAGATGAAATGCAAGCTATGATCTCTGCAACCACTAACGAACCATCTGATGGTTCATTATACTGAATATTGTCTTGGAAGTGCGCAATTTTTATGTCTTGATAGTCAACAATATTTACCAACTCCAGTCAGATTAAACAATATTTACTAACTGCAGTAAAATTACAGGACGTATTGGTTACGGAAAAAAACGCCTGAACGAAAAGGTGTTAAAAATGTAGAGAGATCATCATTTGTTCTTACTTCAGCTGAATGGAAAAAGACTGAAAACAACAAATTAAAAACTAAACAACCTAAAGAAGAAGAACAGGCGACTCATAAGAAAAACAGATTACTGAACAACACGAAAAAATAACGCAAAAGTAGAAACCGCTATTAAAAAACAAGAGAAAAAAGCTAATAAAATACAGGAGAAAAAAGACAATACAATAAAAGGGACAATAGAAAATAAAATACAAGATACAATAGAAAAAACAAAATAAAAGAGATAAAAGCTAACAAAACACAAGAGACATTATCATAATACATGATAATAATACGAAACTTTGTTAAGTTTATAAATACAATTAGATTGTTGTCAAATATTTTTTTTGATCCTGAGTCACACATTACCCACCTATATTAAAATAAGTCAATTAAAGAGATTATAGGTACTAATAACATTTTTTATTTCATATAATTTCAATACCACTATCATAGTGCTGTTAATTGACTCACTCTATGCTATTAAATGGTGGTGATGGTGCTATTAAATGGTAAGATGGTCATTATTTACTCTTGTCCATCTAAAAAAATGGATACCTAAATATAAAAAATATTTTTTAAATAATCATCTTACTGATTGAATATTGAAACTAGAAAACTCGTCATAACGGGTGAAACAGCATTTTTCAATGTGATAAACGGGCTTAAGTTTGGACTAACTCTTAAAGTGCTGATAATTGGATCAGTCACCCTAAGTATGTTACAATTATTTAAACATTACTAGTATTAGTGGGATATCGCTTAACTTCGGTGTAGAATAAGTAAAGTTTTGTTTTCTCATTCATATTTTATTCATGAAAATCTTGCTTTAAACATTCTTTAACTTATCATAAAAAACCTTAGGAAATCCATTCAATAGTTATTGAGATAATCGTGAAGCTACACACAGACAGATGCAACAAGGGACTTTATTTTATTACTTATATGAAAGCATTTACAGTCTAATGATGATGTTATATTGTATCTGTTATTTAGCACCTAATGTGATATACAAATAAATATCTGTTTGTATCTTTGTACCTAATTATACGGCGATTATCATCGAAGTGAAAAATATAATGCAATCGGTACTGCATTGACGTAAAATCTATATTATTGGGTGCCATATGGTTATCACTTGCAACCAATTACATTTCAGCTGTCAATAAATTGCGAGTCGCTTGTGTCGTTAGTGAGTTTTATAGTTTAAGTGGGTCTCGTAATAATCTTGCTCTGAAGGTTTGCGAAAGTAGAATAATCTTATAGAATAACCCCGAGGTTGAACTTTTTTATTATAATAAACTCTAATTTGCAGATCCCGCTTGCGCGAATCGTGAACTATAGGCTTGCGTTACAAAACGACACGATTTCCTTACTTATATTCTCTTTTCGGCTATAGTGTAAGTATTACAAGATTTTTCTGTAATTTTTCAATTTCGACTTTTTCTGTATAAGTAATAGTATTACAAGAATTATGTTTCTATTTTTTCCTTCGGATTATTCGATGCTTTTGGACTTAGTGACAATAATGTCGTCACACCTCTACTTATGCACTGTTTAAGTGCCCCACACTGTCTATAGCTAGAATAACAAACTCTGACCGCTGCACGATTGTTCTTCATATTTGGGCAAGTATTATTTGAGGAGCTGGCGAATATAATTACGCATCTGGTCAAACTATGTTTTTTTTACAGTCCGGAGGTTTCGGGCCCGTTCAATTTGAATATCAAATTATTTTCGATCATAACCGCCTAAAATAGTGTTAAAATTACTAAATTTATAAATTACAAACCATGCCCAAAGCTCACTGTAGGTATATTGTTTTAAACTTTCATGGCCACTAACATTATAGTAATGTGAGTTATTTACGGGATTGTTACTATGTACCTTGTTTTTAGCGAGTTTACGATATTTCGGCACTTTTGCAAGCGCCATGATCATGCAGTAACAACAGTGCTGAAATATCGGAAACTAGCTAAAAACAAGGTACATGGTAACAATCCCGTAAATAACATATTTTACTACACTGTATGTATGTCATTCAGTTTTATACTGCACCTGTAAAATTTAATTTTATGTTATTATACCGTTTCGTTCGCCAGCTCCTCATTTTATATCTACTCTATGATTTAATGCTATTCATTCATATTAGTGATATAGTGATCTACAGTAATGGTGTAGGTAGCGGCAAGAAAAACTGCAGACACAAAAACTTGCGCAGTAGACGTTTTATATGTAAAATTTCTTGTTCGCAGGCTTCCTTGTTCCTTCCAATAGTCGTTGCTTAAGAAGTTTGTCGGAGTGTACACTGTATATCCCTTTTAGGCACCAGTGTATCCATTTCTGGTTGTAAGTTTCATTGAAAATTCTTTGTAAAACAGGTCTCCGTTATTGATGATCGAAATTACATATTTATGTTGTTATATAATAATAAATAATGAGCTTCATATTTTACTTTACCTTCAGATATAAGTCTTTCGCGAATCTCCCATGCGAAGATAGTTGGATTTTCCCTCTTGTACTGTTCTATCTTGGATACTACAGCCGGGGTGGCCACCTTTGGTTTGCTTCCACCGATGAGGCCCGGGGGTCGTAAGGTACCTGCCAAATAAGACACAAACAAGTTTAGTTTAGAGAATCACAGATAAAGAATACTAAAATAAAGAATCAGGCAAACAATCAATGGGTATAATATTTTTTTATATGTTTAAAGGATATAAAAGAAGCGTGTTGTATAAACAATTATAATAAGGACCCAGGAAACTGTAGAAAAGACGAGGAGCTCGATGGCGCAGGTGGTTAGTGCTTTCGGCCTGCGATTGTTGAAGTTAAGCTACTTCCGCAGTGGTCATCGGTATTAGATGGGTGACTAAAACCTTTTTAACTTGAGCTTCTTCGTGCTTCGGAAGGCACGTTAAGCCGTTGATCTCAGCTTCACCAGCAATCGTTAGCGTGCATCAATCAATTCTGGGTTGCGTGATGGATCACGGCCCAATCTCCCTAATCCACCCATAGAGATGTTCTATGCCCCAGCAGTGGGGACATCAATATTCAATTCATCATCATCAACCGATGATGATGAATCTGTGAAAAAGAAAAATAGATCTTCGCGCAATCAGCTAACTTTTCCTCGCAGACAGTATACGACATATATTTTACCAAGAGAAAATGTTAGGCTAAGGCCTCCACACAAAAAGCTTAGTGTTGAGAGCCTAGCTACTTTCTCAATGACTACTAACTGAACAGACGTATTGCAGATTATCGCAGTTTGACATATTTACATGCCTAGTTAAGTTATTTTAATAGAGGCTCTATCATTTAAACTATCTATGCAAATAAGTAAAAAATTAGAGTCTATAACTTTATCTTTTTGTTTCTAACGGCCAAACCTTAATGTTGGTATAAAGTAACTAAGAAACTTATATTTTAATAATCTCTTATACATACTCCGTGAAAGCGGTATTGCAAAAACCAATAATTGTATATCTACCTAATATAATCCCACTCGCACCAACGATTTTTTCAAAGATTATTTCAAATAACATGTTCAAGCATCGTTCTATCTCTTTTTTGTTTATACAATTGACAAAGATTGAATCATCTTTTATGAACGTTGGTACAATTGGGCCTAAAATTACTCGAATTTTTAAATTCTAATCATATTTCTACTGACCACATAAGAGATCTGTTTACGATTGAAAAATGAATTGTTATTTTATTGGTACGTGCACCTGCAGATCGCTAAGTAGAGGTTAAATCAAATCGGACTCTCGAATAAAATACCAATGCATGCAACACGATTTCGAGCGATGCAGTTTCATTGAAGCCAAACGTGAATAAACGCGAGTCACTCGATTCGGAACTTTTCTTTTTATTGTTATCAACTCACGAGTGGTCTATTTAACGTCTTTCATCATGAAGTCATAAGGGCGGTTTTGCATTGTAAACTTTACAATTGTATAAAAGGAAAGGTGGATGTGAGCTCGTTCAAAAATGATAATTGCAAATAGTATTACGAATGACAATGAAACCTTAAAATTAGTATTAATTACCTTCAGAAGCGTCTACGACATAAAATGTGCGAGCGAGATGTGAATGCTCAATTGGGTTTTAAAAACATAGTCGTCCGAATCTTTCAATTAAATGTACCATTGTTACCAGTCTGACTCCATTTTAAATCTTTAAGAATTGATATATCGTGAAATTCATAGTTACGTGTCTTACTTTTCCTTCAGGATACAAACTATGTAGGTTATAGTAGGATAGACGACAATGACGACTACGATGCACAGGAATTAGATATTTGAATGATTTTACTTGAAGGTAATAAGTTTCATACATACATGACCTTTGATTAAAAAAACACAAATTATCTAAGGCAACCTTAACCGATTCGATGATCCGATCCGAGTAAATTAGTGAGGTCAGAAATTATTCCACCCTCACTAATTTACTAGTTTACTTGACACGTGGAAGTTAATACTTACAATTTATGATTCACAAACAACTTCACTATCATTCCGCGCGCCGCCCACACGCAAAACCTCTTTTTAGCGCGTAACGCCCAACCGAGCCGCTAGCAATGGGCTTATTAAAGACACAGTTAGAGCCATTATCAAGCAACGCGGTTGTGCGGATGGTTGTAGTTTTTCCAAATCAAAATAAAAAATAATTAATTCAGTCTAGGCTATTACAAGCACTTGTGAAAATCGAGAAGCTACGCCATCAGTTCGCAAAACTACGGCGGGAGACCTTGTACTGAGGAGAACCGGCAAGAAACTTTGGCTTATGGACAGTTACAAGAACTACTTCTACTACTTATATAAATGAGGAGCTGGCGAACAAAACGGTATAATTACGCATAAATGATCAAAATACTTCTTTTTACAGTTTGGAGGTTTTGTGCCCGCTGAATTAGAATTTGAACGCATTTTCAATCAAAACCGCCTAAAATAGTGTTAAAATTACTAAATTAAAAACCACGCCAAAAGCTCACTGTCATTTTGTTCATATTTTTTTCTGCTCCTGTATAAACTAAATTTTATGTAATTATATCGTTTTGTTCACCAGCTCCTCAAATACTTAATACAGTTTCCGCTATCACTATCAGTGGCATCAGCGGCAGCGGGGAAGCATCGGAAAGCTCAACTGAACTTTGTTTTACATTCCAATATACACTTTTATTTACATCCGGTACCCTTAATGCAGCCGATTTGACCGCGACAATTTTTATCACAAACAGGTGCAGCAAAAGAATTCCTGTTGTAACGTACGTAACTATATAGGTATTTATAACATAAGACATTACCATTTTAGACCCAACCAAAGTCAAATGTATCGTACATTTGGCATTGATTGCGTCTAAAATGTAATCGATAAATAATAGTAACAAGCAGGCAGCTAATCACGAGCAACAATTTCAAAATATTATTATGCTCTACCCGTGCCTGCATGTGCCTGAGTGCGGCGGTTAGTAATCATTTTGGTTTTTACAAAATTTAAGGGATGAACTACCACTTTTTAAAACTCATAAAGATGCACCATAGTGTTATTATATATTTTTTAATTTTAAAAAAGGTGGCAAACAAGGATATCGCCCGCCTGATGGAAAGCGGCCAACATAGCCTATAGACGCTTGCGATACAAAACATACCACTTGCACCGTTGCTGCCCTGACCCAATCTCCTACCCCGTGGAGCCCTTGAACCTTATTCACCGACATAGAAACACAACACCACCTAAAGTAGTGTTATTTTACTGTGTCAGGTACATAGTATTATAAATAGTATTATAAGTTTATTACATCGTCGAAGTTATGAAGCTTTATTGCACCAAGTTCCGCTACGGGTTACGAGATGACGTTTATGTCTTTTGTACAGGCATAATACATATTTCGGAAGAATTTATATTAAAACTAGTTCACCGGTGAAAAAATGATCAAATAATATCGTGTGTTCTGGTGATATCTTCATCCTAGTGTGTAAAAGTTGTACTTCTATGAAATGTGCAGGATTATGTGTTAAATTCAAATAATAGTGTACTTAACTTCTGTTTAAACTGCTAGATATTCCGGATGCAGATTTGTGAGTTATATTGATATGGTGTATATAATTCTGTCTTTGTTATAGCGAAATGTTTAAATGTGGCAATAAATAAAAGTTATCGAAGATTTCCCCTGCCAAGTATTTCATAATAACTTTGGTGACGAAGATATTGACAATATAAAATACAAAACAGAAAATGCTCGTTAAAAATTCAAAGAGCTACGATTGGTTCATGAACCCGAGAAATATTGGTAAAAACTAATGGATTCCGCAATGCCTAAATCAGTTAGATAAGTGAAGAGCGCATACTCCGGCACAATTACGTAAAAACGCATCTGACGAGGCCCGCGGCATCCCGCCGGCCGGCGCTCGCGCAGCGTTTTTACCACGCGCGGACAACCGTCCTCCATACCGATAACACGCTGAATAATTCATCACATTATATTCACATTTTTATCAACGCCATTCAAGATAAATTCATACGGGTCTTTATGTCTTGATAAAACTAAAGATCAACTCCAAAAGTGGCGCAGACGCGCAAAAAGTAATGCTTCAAGTTTACACGTTCGCCTCTACTCGGAGCCATAATAGGCTCGGCTCATTATAATATTATTCCTTCTTAAAAATTAATAAAAAGTTTCTTATTCATTGCTATGATTTTATTGGTACGTAAGTACCTCCTAGTACTAGTAGGTGTCTTGAGGTCAAAGCAAGTCCCATTTTAAACAATAAAAATGAACAAACTTCCATTATATGCCACTTACAATTAATTTTGGAAAGTGACACTGTTAAAATACGCTAAACTGTATTAATATACCTAAATTCGCTTTTGTTACATGAATGAGTCATCTCGGAAAAAAATCGAACCATTTGAACATAGAGAAGATAATTAGGCACGATTTTACGGTGTATATCACCGTTAGCGGCCGCCGCTATTTACGTACGTGCTCGAGTCTTACACTGTAGGTGTACACTATGTTTTGCCGAACGATCTAAAATCATTGCAATAAGCGAGCTCTAGTATTGATTGATAGGTAAATTGCGAGAGGCCAGCACGCTGATCATTTCGCGATAATTAAATCGGCATGGAAGGTAATCGCATGACCACAGCCAATTACTCGCCGTTGCCTAGGCAGAGGCGGATCGTGTGAGGTACCTTTGAAATTGTACATAAATGTGTATTATTTGCGCGAAACGCGTGCTCCCAGCGCGGAGCGCTCTTGCCACAGACTTAAGCTGGACGCACACTCAAACCATTAGGTAACTATAGAACATTATCTAAATTTGCTAATAAAAAAAACATTCACAACATTGCAGTTACATTTTGAAATGTTCATAATGATTTTCCGAATAACTTCATCTAACTAAAGTAGCAAAACGAACTTATAGAATGTGTCACGTTTACAAAAACTGAGCCATATAGGCTAGGTTACCGAGCCATATACCCCCTAAATAATAAACGAGGAATAAGTTTAGACTAGTTACGCCGTGTTTTGTTTATATCACTCAAATGCCATTTGTCATTCATTGGACAGAGACGAAATATGGAGTAACTGA